GAATCGGTTGTTGGCCTTGAGTCTTGTTTAGTAGACAAATTAAAAACTGAATTGAATAGATTTATACAAACTTAATGTAACACGCGATTTGGTACAAGTAATGTGAAACAGAGGGAAAGTACAATTATCCACAGTATTCGTCTTTACTTCCATAATATCATTGTAGGTATTAACGGAACTCATATTGTGAGTTCTACTCCAAATTTCCAACGCGAGCCAACTAAACCGCTCCAGCACAATCTCCGGCCAGTCGAGCAAGCCTATCCAAGAGCATACTTTAGCTTACACAATAGGTTTCCTTTGCAATCTTTGATCGGCAAACATGAGCGAAGGAAATGAGGCTAGAGAAGCGGTGGCGACAATCACAAGAGGTGGGACGCAAAGCCTATCAGAGGGCTCTACTGTGTGTGTTGCTGGCCCCCATTTGCCCTCTCCACAGCATCCAGATGAAAGTCCCTCGCGAGCACCACTGCTTGCTCGAACGCCAACTCGCGTCTCGCCATATCCGTTGCGACTTCGGACACCCCCTCAAGCACTGACACCGCCTCTACACCCTCATTCACGAACGTCACCACCGCAAGGCCCGTCAGTATCCCGAAGGGTGACGGCATCTCAACTGGAGTCTGATCAATTCCAACTGGTTGTCAAACGCCATTGTCAAAAACTCACTTGGACAACGTGAAATCTCTGGTGAAACGCTAAACAACTTTCTGGCTGAGAGATCCACCTTCCAGGACATCCTACGCAAGCTTTGGGAGAAGTTCAGCCATCGAATCAAAGGTCGGGCCGTCAAAGTGGAGGATGTTTGGACTATGGAGCCATCGACGATGTCTGATTAGACTAAGCTCATGCAGTTTAAGTGCAACAATCACATAGTTGACAATGAAAAGACCGAGGATGCCTGGAACCTCTGGATGTCCTCGCGACGTAGGAAGACAATCAAGCTCATAATTTACGCGTACGAGACATCCATCACAAAGGCGAGGGACCTTGAATCGTTTGCAGCAGCATGAGTACGACCTCTTGCAACTGAGCTCGCAGGTGCAGCGGCCGAGAGCTCGCTTCGCGACGTAGTCTCGCAGCCTTAGTCGCGTTGGAAGTCCAGTTTTCGCGCAGAGACTACTGTGTGGCGAATGTGGGCGACCCACATCACACGAAATCTGAATAAGTCTAAATGGAGCGATGCAATTTCGGAGCCTCCACCAGAGTATATTACAAGTCTTCTCAGGCAGACCAATTCTCAGGCTGATAGCAGCAGGTAGTCGTCTAGTCAAGATCAGCAAAAATGGCGCTAGACTGCGTAAATGCATCAATTTCGCACAGCCAGCAAATGCGTCAAGATGTTGAAGACCTCATACTGCAACAGGATGCCCAAGATAAGGCCCTGCTCGCGCGAAAGTCAGTCATTGAGAAGTTCCTCTATAATACCCATCCGCCCCGCGGCCAGTGACGTGATTGATCCACTTACGACAATTGAAAACGTTGATGACGTTGAACATCAAGATTAATTTGTCGGTAGGCACGAAGCACTCGCCTTACTTCAACCTAGAACTGCCTGCGTCTCTCAATAAACCCCAATTCGTCTTCTACTTCCTCGGGTCCCGTATCACTACCACAAAGGTCAATGATGTGTCGATTATCCGTTGCCATTGGTCCAGTGGAATCGAAATGACCCTGGATTTGCCAGCCACAGCGCTCAAACACTCTCGTCATACAATAAACTTCAAACCGGCGAAATGTTTTCACTACAAACGGTAGTAAATCTCGTCCGCTTTTCTCGTTGTAATACCTCCGGAATGCCTTCTTGATATACCCAAACATGTACTCGATTGGGTTGAAGAATGGGCAGTAAGCAGGCAGAAATATTGGGACCACTCCAATGCTTCTAAGGAAGTGGACAATATCCGGGTGCCTGTGTATCGTCGCACCGTCCAATATCCACACGGAGTTAGGACCCGGATATTGATGAACGTTTCCTCTGCTTGAATACGCATAGTCTTTGCAGCACTTGACGAACTCAACACGATCAAAGGTTCCTTCGGTGTTGAAGTAATCAATTACACTGTGAACACCAATGAAAGCTAAGATGGACACCCTCGGTTTCCGCTGGAAATCGCCTCGAATAGCCAGCGCTTTCCCTTTCAAAGCATACCCTCTCTTTCTTACCATCCCTCGATTATCAAAAGAGACCTCGTCAAGAAAGGCAAGGTTGTGGTGAGTCCAGTCAATGTTGCTCAGTTCTTCAACGAATCTAAACACATCTTGCTCCTTGATATGCATGGCACGCCTCTCGAGAACTTTGTAGGTCAATCCACAGTCGTGAATAATTCGCCACACTGAAGACTTTGAAATGCTGATGTGGTGAGCGTGTTCATCAAGGTACGCAAGCGACTTCTCCGAACAGAAATCGCAGATCCATTGCCGATGATCTTTCGTGAACTTTTTGTCGGTCGTCTACTTTGCTCGTTCGAATGTTTCCGTTGACTTGTAAACTTTAATCCAGTTCCAATCGTTTTGACCGTTTTGTTGTACACACGCGCGAGGTCCTGACAACCCTTGGCTCGCAGCGGGGCTCTCAGCAAGGAGTTAAGCTTTGGTCGTGGCTTGCAGAGGACCTTAGCCTTTCTTGGCAAAAGAAGGAATGAAATATACTGATAGTTAAGATATAGTTGTTCAACCTGCGAAAGGTTTGAAATAGAAAGCTCAGTCTCAAGTCCTGCATGACAACTTGACATTCAACCTTGGCCGTCGTCATCCTGGCAACGGGCTTGTTAGTCCTGACGCGAATAGCTGAGATAATAGAAGCCATACAAACAGTGAAACACTGTATTTGGGTGCGCATGCTGTTTTGTAGCAGCTTCTTCCATTTTGCGCACTTCAATCGAGCAACAATAGCTCAAATCTAATGAGGCAGCAACAAAACATGTAATCTCAACGCTGGATCCCGCAATCCCAAGAAAAAGTGTTGTACTTACCCGACTGGAGGTTTTCAAGCACTAGATGTTGCCAGTTTGATTATTCGTAGTCCCGAGATCTGGGGCTCGTGTGAACCTGGAACACCGGTAATAAGGTTAGCAAATACAGCACTACATGTAAGACGGAAGCTTATTCACGAGACACCGTGCCAGCGAGCAAGTGCCTGTGTCCTAGTTGCAGTAGGAATCACCAACATAGAGGAGCAACGCGCGCCATGATGTATGTATTTTAGCCAATCGCGTCGATTTGGTTACTGAATGGTCAACCTCTCCGCATCGGCAAATTCGAGCGAAATTGACAATACCTTGGTATGAAATAAAACAATATAAGAAAAACTATCTTAGCCAACGCAAAAGGCTCTTAAAAACTTTTCGCTGAGCATAAGTATGCGAATAGTAAACGTCGTAGATTGGTTTCTGGTCGGAAAGTTAAAAAAAAATCTGAACTCGTATTGCAGACCGTTGTGCTGTATTTGGAACCTGTTCTGTTACTTTGCCTGTGTCCGTGCTTCCTTCATTTTCTTCATTTTGTTTAGACTGCATTCCAGTCTGGAGAAGACCATCTACTATGCTAAAATCTAAGTAGCCTTGTGCGTGTTCAATCTCACAGTCAGAGGAGCGTCGAAGCAGTCAACTGCCTTCTCGAGTAGCATGGTCACATTAGCATAGCTCAAGCCAATACTGATAGCGGTATCAAATGCTGGCTTCTCCTTCAACAGCCAAAGAAAATCGGGGTGGTTATCATGCGACCCATACAACCATTCACCACCGATAATCTCCTCGTTTTCATCTAGTTCCAGAAGGTAGTCATAGTCCGCTCCGACGGTAAAGTTTTCGTTCAGGCCTGACGCCACAAGGCCACCGTCCGTGTATGTCTCGTTGATCCACGACAGACGTGACTTCGTATACACGATGCTCTTGGAGGCATTATTCCACGGGTAATCTGGAAGCCCATAGAAGGTCTGCGCAGCCTTCTCTAGGGTCATAGCTGTTTGCTCATACACCTTGAAGCCGACTACAGGCTGGTTCCAGACCTCGGTGCCAGCATCTCTGTCGATGATAAACGTTTTATTCAGCAAACCCAGGAGGTTAGAAGCGGCAATGTGGAAAAACCCGGGGTTGAGGTCACGATATGATTCATCCGTGTGACTGCCGTACTCATCAATCGAGTCGTTGTAGCCATTGTAGCGTGCGCCAGTAAAGACGGTGGAGATGTTTGAGTCGTCATAAACAGTAGTAACCAACGCCTTGATATCCATAGGCTGGAACGTGATCCCGTTAAACGTGACGGGGCAGTTAGGCTCTCGTTCAAAAATGGCAGCGGCTGCCCACGCGTGGCAAATGCCGTGCCAGGTCGGGATGCAGTATCCTGAACTTGCACCATCACGCATACCACACACCGTGTCGACGTCGGGGTCAAAGCACTCCTTGTCAGAAGTGCATACCGATCGGCTACTCCTCGAGTCAACTCCGTTTAGAGCCGAAACATTGTCCATGAAGGCTTTCACGTTCAGATTGAAAGCCGTCGCGTACTTCTCAGCAGGGCTCGGTTGGTCTTTGTTCCACTTGTGGTTGATCCCGTCCTGGTAAGCAGGCCAGTTCGAACCAGCCCATGGTGATGGCTTATACGTAGCCGAGGTGGGCAAGTTCTTAAGCTTCACCTCCATCTTGAATTTGAAAAACTCCTCCAGTTTGGCGATGTCTTCGTTCAAGATGGACTCCAGTTTGCGGTTCGCAGTGCTTGGGTTCTCTGGCACTGTGACCGTGCACGTACCGTCGTCTTCAATCTCAGTTCCTCGGCCTGGAAAATTCTTGTTGCCGAGATCGCACGAGGTAGATTTTGTGATCGGGTCATCATTGAGCGACAAAGCGGTTACCGCGTTTATCTGCAGGTGAAGCGCGACGATGGCCGTGAAACCGAAGCGGAAGCAGCGCATGAAGAGCTTGCTTTCTATCGGCTGTTGCGTGGTCAGGAGAATCGGGAAGTGAGCATCTGAGACGCTTGTTTGTTCGCTTTCAGATTAATAAGCAAATTCCGAACTTGCAGGCCACGAATACTGTACTTCCGAGACATGTACCTGCACATTGGAACTGCATAGGATGCTTAGACTTAACCGTATATCGAGTTCTAATGGAGTAGCGAATGTTGGTATTGTTCCATTGAAAAAGCGAAGGGAGTGGAAGGAGTATAATACCATCCACTCGTAAGATGTAATCATTCACTTGAAGTAGTACTTGAGGAGGGCTGGGGTGGATGGGTCATTAATTTAATGAAACGACCACAATTCCCTCACACACCTCTTACTAACTCTCGCTTGAAGGTATTAAGTGCTTCTGCAAGTGTAGCAATTCACTGAATTGAATTCAGACAAGTGTATCGCCTCAGTAGATTACTCAGGTTACCGTCGACGATATTTGCTTGATCTGTTAATACTACTTTTTCACTTGCCTGCTGGTCCCTTTAATAGGCTAACAGGCGGAAACCGAAAAAATCCTCAATAAATAGGGTCTGAGAAATCATCATTACCTATTACATTTCCCATCAATTGGATAACACATGATGGTATAGGTCGTCCAAACGCGCGGCAGTGGTACAGTAATACATTGAAGCGATTGTTATGGATGCATCATTACAAGATTGAGACAAGATTGAGTTACTACATTAGGGGATTTCAGTTATAGTTCTTTCCTAGACGACTGACGCAGGAATGAGTCGAAAACCTTTTTTTGGCATACTTGCGCAGAAATTTATTACCTTGTGAATTCGTAATATCACTTTAGACGGTTTATTTACATCTCCAAAGAAAGACCCTCCATCAAAGAGTGGGGTCGAGGAATAAGCTCTTATAACGTTAGAAAAAATCAAAACTGAAACTCACTAATAGATTTGTAAGTCTGATCCTCTATTTATCGAAATCTGCGGAGCCGTCGCGCCTTGACACGAATTTAATTTTAAACTCCGCGTGCGTAGCACACGGACGACCAGATTTCTCTCGGCCATATAGGGTTGCTTACGGATTGTTGTCGTGGAACAAAAATTATGTTACCGGTGCAGGGCAATTAATAGTTCTCTTTCGCTCGAAAAGTCGAGGTTACTGTACCATACCTGACTAATAAAACTGTCTCGACCTACAGTTATACATGTCGGATTAAGGAAATGGTTAACCGAGGTGGATGTTAATACTGTATTCCGCCTCAAGTTTGATTTTTAACCAGTATAATACAGCCTGATGTCAGCTGGCTATTGTACCGATGCTTACGTTAGTTAATGTGCGGTATGTGCTGATGCATGTAGCTCCCACGTAAGCTGCTGCCATTAATACGGCACATGGCACCTCGGTACCACCCACATCATACAGCCTTACCAATAACATGAAGAACTAAAAATAACGAATTGATACACTAGTAATTGTGATTAGGCTCGATCGATCTACCGTAAGCTGCTTTTTTTTTCATTTTTTGGCCATCAATTTTGCAATGTGTACTGCAGTTTTCACTGATACATCCACTCAAACGACAAACCCGACAGATCATTGCCAGCCACTATTTCGTGTCTCCAATCCGGTGAACAACACCGCGAAAGGAAAAGATTACTAATAATAGGTGCAGTAGGCGATACGTATCCTGGTCTGGCCAGGTTGTCCAAAATGTGCTCCAAATTAGTGAAATGGTATTTTCAAACCAGAACTTTATTTTAAAAAAAAATGCTGGTTTAGAAGTGCTTATGGTTATTTACGGATAAGCCAGAGAGGACGCAGCAGTCGACGCGCTGGGGTATTGAGCAACTCTTGAAGGAGTAGCACTGTAGCACGCGCGGTTGCCGACGTGACACGTTCACACACACACACACACACACACACACACGAGAAGTTCAGGTGAGCTCTTTCAGGCAAGCATTTATGATTCTGGTTGGCCGATGACAATGTCAAAGATGTATGGTTGACTCTTAGTTGGAATTGTAGCCACAGTACATACAGCTATGGATTGTATTTGCTTACATTTCGTCAGTAATGCGATGGTATTATAATGTGCAAAATGACTAATGGCCCAATTAGTGTTCAAAGTTTGCAGAAAAAACACATAGGATCAGCGTTTTCTTAAATTTTAATACCAAATACTAGTATTAGTTTAAGCACCTACACAATCATTATTTGGGAGGTGAGGTAGAGAAGCTCTATATGTACTGTAACATCATTAGTACACCTGCACCTACATAATCATTCTATACGTATTACGCAAGATGAAGTACCCATGAGAGTAAACACTGCAAACGTTTATTACTTCAAGTACATGTAACGTGTCAAGACAACGATTTGTAGGTCGGCACGACTCGACAATTGTGCAGTACTATTAACATCTAATTTAATCGAGACGACCAAGTATATGAGTACTGCTTAGTTGCTCATTTCCGAATTTTCCCGACAGCGATAAGTTCTCCTGAACAATAACCTCAACGAAGATATCATGCCTAGCATCCGCTTCATTTCCACGGCCATATCCTTCATCGCACTATACCAGCAGATAAGATCGGTGGTAGCATCTTCACTCCAAGACGACCCGGTAACTACGTGCAGCTCGTACGATCTCAGCAATAAGAACTTTCCGGGACGCGGGACCGCAATTGAAGACGACGGTACCTGCAAGGTCACGGTGCCGGGGAACCGTGGTGCTCCACATCGAAAACTCGAGGTAATTGAGGGCAGCGATACTGCCAAATTGGAAGAATACTTCGGTGTGAAACTGGAGACTAAACTGAAGAACCTACCGACTTCGGCTATTCATCATCCGTCTCCATGGAATGGCCCGAGCTGGCTTGTCTATCAAGACAGTATCAACTACGAGTGGAAGAAGGGTCAGCTGAGTCCTGCTGAGAAATACGCGACGGCCTTCGGTCTGAACGTCACAGAGTTCATGGACAAGGTTTCGGCTCAAAACGGCATCGATTCGGAAATGAATTACAGCACGCCTTGTACCACTGACAACGATTGTGACTTCACGACTTGCGCTATCCGTAAAAATGCGATATCGGGCTATTGCATCCCGACTTGGTACGGTATCAGTCATGCATGGGCCCCGGCCTCCGTTCTGGAGAAAGGTCCCGTTTGTGCAGTAAACTTCAACGGCGTCGTCTTCCATCCTATCGACGTCATGGGACTGGTCACTGACATCTATGACGGCGTCAAAGTATCGACTATCTTTACTGGGTCTCGCTACAACGGTGGTAACGAATCAATGGATGCCTATGGCCGAAGCGTGGAGTACTCGTATCGTGACGTGAACCCTGGGTTCTTCCACATCGCTGCTACCAACCTTCTAGGCAAGCTCAACCACACCTTCATCATTGACAGGCACCCTGGTTACGTTGTCTGGAACCAGCCCGTATACGGTTTCGAGGTGTATGAGCAGACAAGCATGACTGTGGAGGAGGCCGCACAAATCTTCTACGATTCGGACACATACCCTTGGAACGACAACGCTACTAGCATTGTCCACGTCAAGTCGGGCCTGCTGTGGGATAACGCGACGGAAGCTGATGACAGCTATACCACCTTGATGGTGCCTCCTGACTCGGGCATTTCTTACGAGTACCTACTAGAATTGGACGAAGCCGAAGAGATTATCGGTGGTGAGTGGTTGAACACGTCCCTCGACAACCACCCAGACTTCCTTTGGTTTCCTAAGGGAAAACCTGCGGCTGACGTGGTGACGAGTGTTGGTTTGAGCTACGCCAACGTCACGATGCTGCTAGAGATGGCGGCAGCGTGCTCCGACTCAAAGTAAGAGTGTGGAAAGAAGATGGAATGGAGGGGGGGGGGGGCTAGCGATGTAGTAAAGATTAACAAGCACCGGTAGTAAGAACATGAATATCCTACAAGAAAAACTAGGCTCTATTCAGAATTGTCGGTTGATAGTGCATTTTGTGTAGACTCTTCCACTTCACGTGATCGACTTCAGCTTCTCATACGTAGAGTTAATGATACCCCACGACATAAGGGACCGGAAGAAATTCATCTGCACGCCGCGATACAGCCGTCTCACGCTGTGTCCACGCTCTTTGTACGTCAGCTGCAAAGCCTCCCATGGACCGATGAACGGTTGCCCATACACACTCTGCATACGTGTCCGTGCCACTGCAAAAAATCACAAAATCAGTAAAAACATGTTTAATCCTTCACCAATAAACACACATCAACTCACCGTTAATAGGGAATGTGAAGGTGCTGATCACCGCTCCAAGCATAGCGCCACAGATGAAATCATTTGTCATGGTGGCTGCTGCTGTATCTCCTCGTGGGAACAGCTCCCTTAGCGGTCCTCTCAGTCCAAAGAACAAAATATTTCCTGGCCCATTGCGACACAAAATTGCCGAGAGTCCTCGGTAGTGCTCTCTCAGTCCGTACTTGTTGATGTGCACCATGGCGTCGTATGCACCCGCGATCTCCCGGTTAAACTTTGGCGTTTGCAACAATGTTTGCGCCCTCTGCACACAATATAAACAACATCAGCAAAATACTCCCCTCTCGTCCATAATTTTTCACTTTTCGCACCTCAAACGGAGCCAGTACTGCCTCGGACGTGCCTGCCAGGCCTGCTGCTACCAGACTCAGTCCCTTGTGCTCCCCAAAGCTCTCCAGCAGCAGCTCATCGTAGAAATTGTAGAGTCCGAACATGATGCTCTTGGACACCATGGCCTGCAGCAGCGGGGGCTTCACACCGCGATATAGCATGAGCCAGCCCTCACTGCGCACATTCTCGAAGGCCTGCCACGTGTTCAGCCCGAATAACTGGTCGTTCGCATTATGGTAGGTTAGTTAGAGTACCATGACATTGGTGCAATTGTTGGTTGCTGCTGTACCTGCTGCCGGAACATGACCTTGTTGGGTGGGAAGGTCACTACGATGTTGATCGCGGCCGCCGAGCCGCCGCAGAAGAACTCGCGTAGGTGCGGAAAGCGCGTGAAGAAGGCGACATGCGCCTCTTGCTCACTGTTCTTGGTACGCTCGTCCGCGCCCGCGTCACTGAGGAAGCTCTCCATCGACAGGCGTCGGGGCACGCGCTCTGCCCCAGTCGGAGGAATATGAAGTGCGCAGATAAGACGGTATTGATGAGGGGTACAGCGTACCACGTTATGGTACATTGTACCATTGTTAAAGACAACTTCAACTGTCGTTTTATTTGATTAGCGAATACACTCTGTGCAAGCCACTCTGTGAGACTGCATGCATCGCTTCTCGACTGGTGATCTGCAACCTTCGTATTGCCACGCATTTGGATATATTACTCGCTTTTTATCAGCAGTCTTTCGAGTCCGAGGGTAGTTTCCTCGTTGTTTTCGCGCCCCCATTCAAGTAGTTTATCGCCGAACTGCTCCGTCACGTTATTTGGCGCTGTCAAATTGCTGAAATGCATTCGTGCGTTGCGAACGCACGTTCGTAACACACTTCCCGTCTTGGACGATCCTTCCACGGCTGTTGCTACTCCCCAGCCAGTCTCATCAGCGTGCATGCCTGCGAATATTCCCTCGCCTTCTGTGAAGAATCGCCAGACAAGTACCATACGGCCTTCCGCTTCATATCGACGAATAACTAACCATCTTTGTACCGAAGCAATCCCCCCCGAATTCAAGCGAGTCGTACGGCGAAACTTGAGTGCCAGTGTGTTCTCGGGATCGTTGACTGCATCATAAATCTCTCGGCAATCTTGTAAATGGAGCAAGTGTGCAACTTGCCATCGCGATCGGCAGATATCCTTAAAGTCGAACGGCACGGTGACCTTCCCTCTGAACTGGAAGTAGCCCGTGTCTGGATCCTTGTCCCAGATCTCTTTAGGAGCGTCCCAGTTTGGTTCGGTGGACTCAAGACACCAAGTTTGTAGCGTTTTATCAGTCTGAGCATACACCGCGTCTAACTCCTTGATATATGTCGCGAAAATATCGGTATCTGTAGAATCGAATCGAATCTTCTTGTGTTGACTAAATGCTGAGGCAGGTTCGTTCTTGATAGAAAGTTCTTGGTAGATAGAGACATCGTTCAGGTGCTGAAGTCTCTCGTGGAAAAGGCAGTGGAACTCCTTGATCACAGTCGCATACATATCGATCGCCTTATGCAGTTGTGTTTGCTGATTCTCGGCACCTTTTCGAGCAGCTAACTGGCGCTGTGCTACCATTTTCCAGGATGAAGTGGACAGTGTTGACAGGGTTTTAGCTGCTCCTTGGATCTTCTCTAGTTCTTCCGTGAGTCTTATGATTTCCTGCTGAAGATTATGCCGCTCAGTTCGCCGCTGCTCTCGATACTCTCTTCGTCGTTTACGATCCTTTGCCTTTTCCAGCTCGTGTCTGGAAACTGCGTCCATTTTCCTCCATTCTTCGCGATGGCAATCCGTACTTGGAGTCTTGCTACTGCGTTCATGTCTGAACGCCGGTTTACCATTGACGTAATTGCGATTTGATTCTTCAAACAAAGTGATCAATGGATGATCGCACGATGTTAAAAAGCGCTCAACTTCAGCGAGAAACGCGGCGTCTGTCGTTGCCATGGCTAAATCGATTCTGTGTGCAACATCCCATCATCAACCAGTCTCCAGAGTTTGCGTAATGCAGGTTGAGTCGGACAAGGTTGCCAGTGGGTGGAGGATAATGCAGGTTAATGCTGTTTACAGTTTGGCGGTAGGAACCGCCAACTGTGTATAATCGACCCTGAACTGCACTGTACAGCAACAAGCCAGAACTCATTATGCTGCAAGATCTTGGTTTAGTATTACACCGTGTAATATCAGTAAATTGTGCTGCAGAGTTTATCATTTGCAGTCTCGATCAAAAGCACACTTTTGTTTTGGGCATATGAATTCCTGATCACAGTCTATATCGCAGCAGGATTGAATACCAACCTGCACAGTATCTTGTCATCACCTCGCCAGATCGCTTTAGAAAACAATTTCCAGATCCTTCATCTATGTGTTCTATGTCGATACATGTATTTAAGTGCTTAAATATTATAATTATCCCGCGTAGCTGTAAACACTGTGATGCAAAAACGATTTGCCTCTAGCCCATGTCCGCTTTAACTGCAAACGCGGATGCCGTGACGGTCCTATCCAATGTTATGCCACTCTCGATGCCAGCGTAATCCACACATGGTTTTCTAATGATTATTACCAAGGGTGTTTGTGTTAGGTGGAGCGAAGTTTTTCAACTTGATGTTATTTTTTCTGTGTGCTCCGGCAAGGATGGGAAGTAATACATGCATCACATTTACCACATCTATTGTACAAAATGCTAGCCAAGCTTATTATAAGTAGCAACAAATCTTTTCGATACGATACCAACGATGTTCACTTCCCCGTAAGCAAAGAATACTTGAGCGCATTCGTGACCTCCACACAGTTTTCGGAGCCCCATTCAACAAGCTTGCTAGCAAACTGCCGCACAGTGGGCTGGTGCTTTGCCACATCGGTCAGGTGCATGGGTACATTGCGGACGCTTGTTAGCAGCACCGTACCAGTCTCGGCACCTTTTTTCGCAGGAACTACCACATTCCACCCTGTCTCATCGGCATTCATGCCGGCGAAAATTCCTTCACCTTCAGTGAACAACCGCCAGACGATCACCATGCGTTCGTTCTCTTCATAGCGACGAATGGCTACACGCTGCAGTACCGATGCAATCTTGCCAGACGCCAAGCGAGTTGTAATTCGAAATTTTAAAGCCAACGTGTTGTCTGGGTCATCCAAGCCCTTGTACAACTGTCGACTCTCTTGACGGTGCCATAAAGGTGCTGTATACCATCGCGACATACACAATTTACGGAAGTCGAACGGAAGAGTTAGCTTCCCTCCGTATAGGAAATATCCTGTGTCTGGGTCCTTGATCCATGTCTCGCTTGGCTCGTCCCAGTTCGGCTCTGTGGCGTCCAATCCCCTCAAACGCAAGGCTTCGTCGGTCTGAGTGAAGACACCTCCTAGCTCTTGAATATATGCAGAGAAGATCGCATCATCCATAGGCTCTAACCGGATCCGCTTGTGCTGATAGGAGGCGGTTCTAGTATCAACATATTCGCTTGAAGAAAAGTCACACCACTTGGCGACTCGCTGGTTCATCAAGTCTTGAAATTCCTCGAGTAGAACAGCTCGACTGCTTACGGCTTTAAAAAGCCGCCTTTGTTCCGCTTCAGCAGCCATTCGTGCAGCAAGTTGACGTTTTGCAAGCATCTCCCACGCTGAAGCAAGCAAGTTCTTACGTCCTCTCGCGTTTCGTAGTTCCTTTGTTAGCTTCTCGACTTCTTGTTGAAGACTTTCGCGCTCGATGCGACGGCGCTCACGGTACCCTTGCCTTCTCTTGCGGTCCTTTGCCTTTTCCAACTCGTGCCTTTCAGCAGCACCCATGATGGTTTTCGTCAGCCTACGCGCTGAGAGCTGTCGAGGGGCTACTCCAACCAACCGTTCTGGAGAAGTCTCAGGTTTCGAAGCGTTCCGGCTTTCATCGCTATCACATGGCAATGGAACAGTGGGTAGATCACATGAAATGAGGAAATCATTCACCTCGTCGAGGAATGCAGCATCCGAGTTCATCGTGACCGAAGTGAATGTGACGTCCAAAGTTTATAAATGTGAGGTCCAATTTGGCCGGTGTCGGACAAGGTTAACCAATCGCTCCTGCCATGTATGTATCCTTCAAATGCGGCGTGAGTCACGCTGCCACTGATTACGCTCCAGTTGTTCTTTTGAATTCTATTGAATCGAAAGTTTTGATAACCACAATCAGCTCGACAGCATCCTTCAATCTACACAGCCTCAAGCACGGAAACCCTCTATTCATCATTAAGCAGTAAATTCTCGAGGGCGGTGGTGATCTCAACATTATTCTCCACGCCTGCGTCAAGCACCACGTCAGTAAACTGGTTCACAGCGGATGTATGCCCCAACCAGTTTCATCGGCACACATACCTAGAAATATTCCTTCGCCTTCAATTTATGCCCGCCACACAAGTACCATACGCTCGTCTTCCTGGTATTGGCGGACGACATAGTGCTGTAGTATTGACACCCTCATGGCCGATTCGAGCTGGATCGATCGTCGACCCTTTAATGCGATGGTGTTGTTCATGTCTTCCAGATAGTGGCATCCCGCTCGGTCTTCCTGTCGATGTAGCAATTGAGCCACAACCCATTAGGAGCGACAAGTCTCCTTAAACTCAAAGGAAATTATGTGTTTAAACGCGAACGGGAAGTGATCTGACTTGGTATTTCGGGTGCATGGTTAAATGCAGTCTTCATCCATCGAATCGAGTCAATAATCTCGAAAGACAGCGTCTGTCTGGGCGTAGAGGCCATCCAGCGACGCCACATAGAGCGCGTACAGCTCTACATCAGATAGTTTTTCGCGAATTGTCATGTGCTGGTGTATTAATGTGTTCGCCTTGGTAGTAGGACACCACCCGTTCAAACCTCCGCGCAATTCGCGAATCAACGCAGCGCCAGCCCTAATCTCAGCATACAGTCGTCTCTGCTGTGCTTCAGCATTTATTCGTTGCTCTTGTTGGTGCTCTGCGACCATCTTCCATTTTGGTTGTACACTGGTCTTCTCTCTCTCTCAAGTTGATAAGTAAGTTCTTTCACTTGCTTCTTCAGGGCTTCTCGTTCGATTTTTGGTCGGTCAATGTAGACTGTGCACGGGCCTTGGCCTTTTCCTCCTTTTCTTTAGTGACGCTGTCCTGTGCCTTCTTTTTCCTGTGTCTCGAGACCTTTGGTATGCTGGGAGCTTTGCCTGTCGTTACATCATTGGCTCCTTCCACTTGCGGCGTGTCACCAGTGCAGATCGACGGCAACACTTGCAGGTCAACTAAGGTGAGAAAATTGTCAACCTCTGCGAGGAACGTTGCGTCCGACGTTGTCATGCTGAGTAGCCGACGCACATACGCCGCGTTTTATATTCAATGCAACGGGACTATCAGTGATTGTGACTCAATCACATTTTTATTCTTATGAACAAACAAAAAGAATAACCAACAACTTTTTTTGGCGCTGGATGAGCGTTGAAAACGAGATAGCATAATTTCTTCGATGAGAGCAATTTAATGAACACAAGAATATTCTACTCATCCCTCAGCAGTAAATTTTCGAGTGCGTTGGTGATCTCAGAATTATTTTCCACGCCTGAATCAAGTACCAGACCAATAAACTGCTTCGCGATGGGTACATGAGTCGGTGCGTAATTAAAATGCATCGGTGTAATGCGAACGCATGTTCTCAGCATTGTTCCAGCCTTTGAAGTTCCCACAAATGGAGTGGCAACGCCCCAGCCAGTTTCCTCAGCATGCATATCCCTGAACATTCCCTCGCCTTCGATGGATCCTCGCCACACGATCACCATACGCCCAACTTCTTGGTACCGGCGGATGACAAAACGCTGCACTACTGACACGACCCTGCCCGGCTCGAGGTGGGTTGTGCTACGAAACTTTAATGCCACCGTGTGCTCCGAGTCTTCCAGCCTGTGATGAAGTTCTCGATCTTGCTGTCGATGAAGCATGTGAGCCACAACCCATCGGGAATGACACGTCTCCTCAAATTCAAAGGGTACAATGTGTTTGTCTGCGTACTCGAAGTGTCCGGTCTCGGTGTTTCTTGTCCATGTCTGCTTGCTGCCGACCCGGTCTTCGTCCATTGCATCGAGTCCACAACGTCGGAGAACAGCGTTGGTCTGAGCATAAAGACCATCTAGCAACACCACATAGAACCTGTGCACCTCGATATCAGCGGTCTCGCGGCGACTTCTCTTGTGAAGTAATTCATTCGTTTCGAAGCTGTCATACTGAGACCACCTACTCAAAAACCCGCGGAGCTCCCGAATCAATGCTGCGCCGGCCACAATCTCAGCAAACAATCGTCGATGCTCTGCTTCAGCATTCGCTCGTTGCTTGTGTTGGTGTGCCGCAACCATCTTCCACTTCGACGTTACTCTGGTCTTCTCTTTCTCGAGTTGATGTGTAAGTTTTTCCACCTCACGCCTCAGAGTTTCCCGTTCAACCTTTTGCCGTTCGACGTAGGCTGAACGGCGCACTCGAGCCTTGGCCTTCTCTTCCTCTATGGTGTGGCTGACCCGCGTCTTCTTGTTCCAGCGCTTGGATGTGGCGGACTTAGTTGGAGCTTTGTCTTCCACAGTATCATGCTCTCTTTCCGCCCGTGCTGGTTCATCTTCACCGATGTCGAGCGATGGCAATGTTTGGTCAATTGAAGCGAGGAAAGCCTCCACGTCGGCGAGGAACGTTGCGTCGGAGGGCGTCATGGCCAACGGTACGCAGGTAAGTAACCTGCCACGTCCTTCCGAATCGAATTTAGCAGCAAATCTCATGCAGACTGATGCTTACCGTCTCCGTAGGACAGATGTTTCGTTCGTTTGCTCGCTCATGTGGACAACCTGCACGAGTATTGACGGTGATCACTAGGTATACAAAACTTACGAGCTTTATTAAATATCAGCATGCCATTATCAAGGTGGACTAGATCTGATAGTCGCCACCAACGCGAGCATCTTCAGCACATGAGTAGTAAAGTGCAAGTGATAGGGTTATATAAGTAGTAAAGTACAAATGCAAGGATTATTACCTAGAAAGGTAAAGTCCGGATTACGTAGTATTTCAGAGAGTAAAATGATACCGAACTGCACAAGAGGATAAAGTACTACTTGCCTTCCGCGATATTACATGTGCAGCACTCTAACTCGGCGTTCCATTGTGACTGCTGCGTGCGAGTTGCGGTTAATTTCTCGCCGCTTTGAGGGTTCTTCATCTTCACATGAATCATTTGATGCACTGTGGGCGGAGCTCCCGCGCCTCACGGTGCAAAAATGGCGGTTTGATATCGTATATCACTCCGCGCACTGTCTTTTCGTTCCCGAGCTACGACTACCGCGGCTCTCCATCGTCGCCTCATTTGTAGGTGCGCGAAAACCCGATACATCGAGATGCTTTCAGTGGTTGCAGCCTTACTCCCGGTCGTCACTTATGAAGCTGAGGCTTCGTCCTACACGATGCAGACGACGGCGATCTACACAGACGAAACATGCAGCGGACCCGCGGTTAATATACTGGTTATTGACAACGACAACTGTAGCGCCATGGCCTGCTCGCCCCAGCCATCGGGCAACTCGAATTTTTACAAGGCTACCACGTGCTACTCGACGGATAGCTTATCGTACAATCCGATGGAAGATCTCTTCCTCGGCCAAACGTTCATTGAAATTCAAGCGTACAGCAACATTAACTGTACGGACGACGCGTATCTGTACCGTCACGGGCTAATTGTCGGAAGCTGTGAGCCATTTTCGACGAGAAACAACCACAGCGTTAGTGTTACGCTCGAGAGTGATGGATCGGCGACCATATTGCTTTATAACAACACGGAATGTACCGATCCGTTGGTAACAACCTATGCGCTGAGTAACTATACGTTGGTGAATCATCACTGCTACGAAGGTATCAGCAGCACTGAGCTGGCTCAATACACTGCTAGATACTACGTTCATCTGGACTACGACAGTGCGGGGGAATCTGAGGCAGATAGTAATTTTGCAGCGATCGTTGGAGGTATCGTAGCTGTGTTTGTGGTGGTGCTGGCCGTCGCTGCATTCATCGTTCGTTGTAGAAACAGAAGAAGACAATTCAACAGAGCGAGGCATAGGCAGTGACGGAGGTATAATGCACAGGGCGAGAGATGGTATTCCACAGACTTGGCAACTCAACTACAATACGCGCTATGATGCTGCTCGTCGAACTAGAGGGAGTAGTCCTCGTGTGAACACATTCAGAGCTGAGGTGAAGGTGGCAGCGGTTAAGGATCATCCTCACATTATCAAGTTCATTAGCGTAGCGGGTACTCAAGGATCCTTGTTTCGTCATGGAGATCATCGAAGGAGGAGACTTGACAACGATACTGGCGATATACGACGGGCAGCATCACCCCGTGGGTTTCTATCATGCTAAAGCAGGATTGCAATGCACGTAGCACACGCACTCACGCATTTACAATCACTTGTAATTCATCGATACCTGAAGTCAAAGAACACTTTAAGCCAGTTGAGGAATTTTGGAATTTTTCGAGAACATGACAAACTGGATGGCTCCAGAAATTATTATGCAATTCGTACGACGAGATGGGTGACGTTCTCGTTCGGCGTGGTATTGTCCGAACTCTATTGGCTAGTCTAGATTCACATAACGCCATATTCTCGCGACTTGTATCGTATTTACCATCACATTCTGTAAACGTTTCCCCCGGATGCGTTTTGCCTTGTCTGTGCTGACTGAGATCACTAAAACGTCAAGCCGAAGCAGTTTTGACTGCAGTGTCAACGAACAGATTTTCCTGCGCGTCTGACGTGTTTGGATACCTGCTAGTGGACGCTTAACTCGAGTCCGGCTGAGAGACCCCACACGGGTAAGATGACCTTGCTCGCATGCAAGATGTCCGATGACAGAAGTTCCGTCATCACGACGCTTTTCTCGAACGGATCTGCTAAACTCCAACTCGATATCTGTCATCGACCCGATCTACTTTTCAGAAGATCTCTTCACAAGTCACACATATGAATACTACATCGGGAGTAAATACACTGGTTAGATCAGCGACGAATCGTCCTGTACCCGGTGGTTCGTCCGACTGTGGCGTAAGTACCGGGGTCATGAAGGCATTACAATCGAGTGAATCGTTCTCTTGTTGCTGGCTACTGGATTCTAATGCGTTGGCAGTGTCGTAACAGGAAGAAGAAGCAATTGGAATGAATTTCTTGAGTCTGGTAGCGTTGAGCAAAAAAAAAAATCGCTCCGACGGCACAACACAAGGGGCCACGTGAGAGTTCAAGCCTACGACGAACACACTGTCCGACGGTCTGTCGAGCTCTGCCTGGAAAGCCATGGTGCAGTCTGGGGCGATGAAGTTATCATCGCTGCGAGTTGAAGATAATTGTAGAGAGAGATTCCTCATCAACAAAGGCGGATTTCGGCAAAGTGTATTCTGGAACGTACAACGGGCATCACGTCGCGGTTAAAATGCTGCTGCCCAAGACCCTCACGCAAATCAATGCGTTCCTCTATGAAGTCATGTTCATGTTTACTCTCGATCATCCGCATATCTTACAGTTTATCGGCGTTCGCTGGTCTTTGTGTCGTCACCGAGTACCATTGATTTAAAGGCGTTGCTAATACAAAGGATGGCATCAACTCACATCCCCATATGCACACGCTAAGCGTAACTCGAGCTCCAGAAAAAATAATAATTGGTCGTCAGAGGTTTCGTGTCTAATTTTCTGGTTGAGTTGGAGACTAAAGCAGACACCAACAGCAGCGGTAGATCTTTACCAACTGCAAGCTGTTGAGCGTAGCCTTCACTGCATGACGAAACAGTGGCTGGCAGCTCCTTGGACGAGTCTTTTCCCCTCGTTTCGCGCAATACAATACTTCGAATGGCTCCCTTCTTACATTGTGACTCACAATACCAGTGCTTGTTGTGAGCGAGTACGGAATGTCTGGTGCAGACAATGCATTGCTATACCTATTAGTCACGTCGGAACAAGCAGGTGGAGATCGTACTCCATCAACAATTGACGTCTGTGACTTTGGGAAATACACACATCAGTATGAACCCATCTAAATCGAGATGTACAGTACCTTCATTTTGGAGATGATTTACTGGGTACAATGTACCGTACATGCCCATCTATCTGTTGAAAGCGCGGTGCAACAGCTTAGACGATCCCCTCGGTAGTCATGGCGTTGAGAGCCGCCACTTTATTCCTGCTTGGCGGCGGGCCGCTCTTCCTCCGTGTCGACAGCCTTACGTGCTTCGTGGCTTGTGCTTGAATGATGGCACAAGCTCTGATAGAAATGAAAGGCAGATAGAAATGGAGTACCATATTTTGGGTACAAGGGGTGGCAATACGAAAATCGGGGGTATTGCTCACCTTTTGCCAGTTTTGCCTCATCACACCAAGATACCCTCCTCTCTAGCCCAGCCAGTCCATATCACACTCATCCATACTCAACGACTGCTGTACAAATATGCTAGCACCAAGCTCACATCCCTAGTTTGTCCAATACAGAGCTAGATTCATGGGCTCACAGAATCTACGGTCTTCCTCTGGTTCATTACAAGAAACGATCAGGAAGCTATTGATGCGCAGAAAAGCACTAGACCCACTTCCGGTCTCGTAGTTGGCCACAAAATCGCGCCAGTCTACACCCGACCAGGTAGGGTTTCGTGGAGTGAAGAGGGTGCTGCCGTCACAAGTGTGCAATTAGAGTGAAGGTTGAACACTTCTCCGTGATCGAATCACGTCCAAAGTAGTAAAAAGAATAACATTCGGGTCGCAATAATGCTACCCCCAGAATAGAAATATTGACTTCAAATGTATTCCATTTTACGATTGAGGGGTGAGAGGGAAATAGTCGGACGTCCAAAGGTGATCTCGCTGAACACCGAAACCAATGACCTCCTTTTTGTATGCCCACTTTTATCACCAACTCGCCTCTTCTACGAAAGTGGCGAAGTCCAGACAGTTTCAACTTGCCCGCGGCTGTGTCCGGCGATACATTCGTTGACCGTTCACAGCGTCTTGGGTTCATTCTCGCCGTCGTGCTCTCTCCATTTCCAGATTTTCGTTCGACTAGGCACGGAGCGGACGATGCAGTCAGTGAATATTTACTCCGACACTTCCTGCGGCTCGGCGCCAATTTCCATGTCCATCGTGGAGTCTGCGAGCTGTATCAGTTCCAGTTGCACGATCACTTACATCGGTACCAATTATTACTACACCGAGACAACCTGTCCGTCCGATGCGAAAAGCTACGCGGCCAGTACTTATGGAAGCACCAAGTACCTTTTGGTGGAACTGTACTCTGACATCGACTGCTCCAGTTACACAGGAACCGCAGCGATCGTTGGGTCAGGAACGTGCGAAGCCATTGGCACAACGGGTCAAGGAATCATCACGAACGTCTACTCGAACGGATCGGCGCAGTTCCAGTTCTTCTTGGACACAACATGCACATACGCCACCAGTTCCCCATACGTGATCAGCAAGGACCTGCTTACAAGCCACGCGTGCTTCCAAGGGTACAAATTGTACTCAAACTCGGACGGTTCGACGACCAGCGGGGCTGATGGAATCACTAGCGATACCGATGGAACCAGTGGAACCAGCAGTACAGCTGGAAGTGGCAGTAGTGACAGCTCCGGATCGAGTATCGGTATCATCATAGGTATCGCCGCTGGCGTGGTGATTCTTGTGTTGATCATAGGCATCCTATGCTGGCGACGTTGTCGCCATGGAGGCAAACAGGAGGACCAATCACACCAAGTTCAGAGTCCAGGAGTGGTCGAACAGGGTGCGACGTCATCAGCTCAGTTCCACAGGATGCCAGTATCACCGCAGAAAACCGGTACGGCTTCAACGACACTGGCCAGCTCGGACGGTGCCATTCCCAGTAAACTCTGGGACGACGAAGCCATCATCGCTGCGAGGATCCCGAGAGAGAAAGTTGTTGCGGAACACTTGATCAACCGAGGTGGCTTTGGAGAAGTGTATGTTGGGACATACAACGGACAGCAAGTCGCTATTAAAATGCTGCTACCGGAACGCAAGAAGAGCTTGACTCAAGTGAACGCCTTCTTGTCTGAAGTCAAGCTCATGAGTACGCTTGACCACGCGCATATCGTGGAGTTCATCGGCGTAGCGTGGGATTCGCTCACTGATCTGTGCGTTGTTACGGAGTACATGGTCATCGATCTGAAAGCCCTTTTGTCCAAGTTCGAAGAGCAACGGATGCCTGTCGGCTTTGATCATGATAAGGTAAAGGTGGCACTGCATGTCGCTCATGCTTTGACGTACTTGCACTCGTGCGCACCGCCCGTAATCCACCGCGATCTCAAATCCAGCAATATATTGTTGAACGAGGCAATGGACGCCAAAGTGACGGACTTCGGTATTTCTCGGGAACGGATTGATGCCACCATGACAGCGGGCGTCGGTACGTCGCTGTGGATGGCACCGGAGGTGATGCTGGGCGAGAGATACGACGATAAGGCAGATATGTTTTCCTTCGGCGTGGTGCTGTCCGAGCTCGACCAACACGCACTGCCGTACTCGCACGCGAAGAACAATACCCACTCCGGTCAACGACTAACCGACACTGCCATTCTGCAAATGGTGGCGGCTGGTAAACTACGTGTCCAGTTCTCAGAAGCTGCGCCGGAATCGATGGTACAATTAGGACTGGAGTGTGTCTCAACAGACCCGAAGCAACGACCAACGGCAGCTGAAGCACTGTATCGCCTGCAGAAGATATTGGCACATGAAATGTAAGGCCGAAAGTTGCGTCAAGTTGTGGTCGACCCGTCCAAAAGAGTAATCGTCAAAGTTAAAATCTTCAAAGGCCCCATCATTGTGATAACCTGAACCTATTGGCACCTATTCAATATATTTTCCAATATATTCTGCCGCTTCAAATCGATCTTGGGATGGATATTTGCACTTGCCCTACACTAGCGATTTGAAATTTGCGGACTGCCAAACTGCAGTCTCCATTATGCAACCCATGCGACGTTTTTCGCCTTGGCAGATCACGTTTGACTCGATGTGTTGGTCATGTTGCAAGCATTATTGCTGTCCGCTGGCTTTAGCGCCATTCCCCAATTCCTGTCCGAACCGCACGCTTCGCTTGGTTACTCGAAACTCTGACCGGGGGGTTTCAGTGTCGCGATGCAGTCGACGGAGGTCTATTCGGACTCGTCGTGTGAGTCTCCGGTAACGTTGACCATCACCTCGAGTGCATCCTGTACGAGCTCGGACTGTGCGTCGACCACCATCGCTGGCAGCACATATTACACCGCAACAAGCTGTCCGTCGAATATTTACTCGCACGCAGCAGACGTCTACGATGACACAGAATATTTGCTGGTGGATATTTACAGCGGGACGGACTGCAATACGTACATCGAATCGGTAGCGTTTGTAGCCTCAGGCGAGTGTCAAATCGCTGGTACAGACGGTCAAAGTGTGATTGCCACTTTGAACTCTAACGGGTCAGCGCAGGTGACGTACTACCTCGACGGCACGTGCACCCTCTCCACACAAACGTCGCTCTCGCTTACAGAGGACGATCTCACAAACCACTCATGTACCTCAGGCAGGAGATACTACTCAAGCTCTGATGGTTCTGCTACAAATGGTGTGAGTAGTAGTTCAAGTGGTTCGTCATCTTCCAGTTCAAGTGACAGCTCTGGAATCGGCAGTGGTGCGATCGCGGGGATTATCGTCGGTGTAATCTTCGTTCTGGTACTTGTCGGTATTCTTGTGTACAGACGATGCCACCGACGCAGAGAGCAGCAACCTCACCGTGCTCCAGACTTCAGTCAGACGAGTGATCTAAGAGAAGCAGCTTATGAAGCACAGGCGAGCCCTGCAAAGCCTTATCGACAGACGACCATCACCACCACTTCAGACTTCGACCGTCGCCATTCTGCGAAACTGTGGGACGACGACGTCATCGTTGCAGCTCGCATCCCTCGTGAGAAGGTAAAGGTGAAACAGCTCATCAATCGTGGTGGATTTGGCGAGGTCTACATTGGCAGCTACCATGGCAAGGACGTCGCGGTGAAGATGTTGCTACCTGAAACAAAGAAGACGATGTCGCAAGTGAACGCCTTCCTGTCCGAAGTAAAGCTGATGGCGAGTCTGGATCATCCTCGAATCGTTTCATTCATTGGCGTCGCCTGGGATCAACTCATCGACATTTGCGTTGTGTCCGAGTACATGGCTGGTGGTGATCTCAAGGCTCTGCTCAGTGACTATGAAAAGAATGGCCACCCGGTTGGTTTCGACCATACCAAGGTCAAGATTGCGCTTCATGTTTCGATTGCACTCACGTATTTGCACTCATGTGCACCGCCAGTGATTCATCGAGACCTGAAGTCGAAAAATATTCTGCTGGATGAGGCGATGGACGCTAAGGTGACGGACTTTGGCATTTCTCGAGAACGCATTGACGCGACTATGACAGGAGGCATCGGAACTTCTTTCTGGATGGCGCCCGAGGTCATGATGGGCGAACGTTATGACGACAAGGCAGACATGTTTTCGTTCGGTGTGGTGCTGTCAGAGCTTGACTCCCACGTTATGCCATACGCTTTGTCCAAGAGCGAGAGTAGTACTGAATCTTCATCCTCTGTGAAGCCGAATAAACTACCTAACGCTGCGATCCTGCAGATGGTGGCTGCTGGCAGACTGCGTGTTCATTTCTCCGAAGCAGGACCGCAGTCGATGGTGGACCTGGGACTTGCGTGTGTGTCGTTAGACCCGAAGGAGCGACCTACTGCAGCCGAAGCATTGTATAAGCTTCAGCAAATCCTGGCCAAGGAGGTGTAATTGTTTCCGATCAGAAACGACAGAGGAGTATACCAGGTGCATGTATGCAGACCCAGTGCCGTGCTGAAATATAACTCATATATCAGTATTCATATCGAATATTGAGCTTTTGTGTCCTAAAACCAGTCCTAAATGTCGAGGAATTTTCTTATCTGAGTGGATATCCACTCAGATGTCCCCGCCATTGCCGATTGTGCCCTTATGTGAGTGCTTGGCTAAAACATACAATTAGAAATATTTTCTACAACTGTTGTTTCATCATAAAGTATAATAAAAGTGTTATAGTATAATAAAAGTGTTTTACACTGTCATACTGGCATCACTTCAACTGCTGGTTGGCCAAGTGGCCCACGCCACATATATTTGCAGGAGGCTCGGGGAGAGTACGCCAGGGCATTGAGAGACTCGGGGAGCCAAGTCAAGGAAGAGCAGCGACTCGGGGAGTGCATATAAGACGTGCTGTAACGGACCCAGCACGACCATACATCGCCACTAATAGAATTATATTCATTTTCATTTTTTCCAAATATCAAGGAACCCCGGGAGGTGAAAAATGTCCAAAGCGAAGAA